AATAACCCCCCCCCCCCCCCGACCGAAAGCAAATCCCAGCTCCGCCTCTGGAGGTCCCTTCTCCCAAGTGATACTGCAGAAGTTCTGATGGGGGAGCCTCAGCCACTGGCCGAACAAGAGCTTTCATCAACTTAACAAGGTCTTGAGGAATGCTCTATGCTCCGCGATATATGCATATTATATATATATAGTACGTAATCATAAACTTTATATGTGTATATATACATATAGATGTGTGGAGATGTATGTATGCATGTATGTGTCTATGTAATGCACTGATGTATGTATGTATGCATGCATGTACCTATATGTCATGCATCTATGCATGAACACATGCATACATGCTAACGTGCATACGTGCGCACATGCATGCGGGCAGATAATCTCAGATAGGCTTAGATATACATCTACATATACATATAGATATATACATTCACACACACACACATACGTTTATGTATACGTCAGGACTACAAGAGGGTTGTTAAACAATTCTTCCGACACCCATGTATTTGTAAGTATGTATGTTCATGCGTGCGTGTATGCTTATACGGATATATATATATATATGTACTCGCGGCCTGGGCTTACGCAGGGCTTGATTTGTGGGGCTTGGGGTTTGGGGTGTAAGGCAAGGCATGTCCCGGAGATTTGGAAGCCTTACGACTTTGACCTGGAAAAGCTTCTCAAAACTATATCTGCTCATGTTGGCTTGGAACCTTCCGAACTCACATCGACTAGTTTGACTGATTACACCATCTACTACTTATCCTTTCAGGCAAAATCACCAAAATTATCTGCGTAATTTTCTGATATTGAATACGATTCTTATTGTTTGGCTTGGCATAGGTGGCCCGGTCTGGCTGGTTCTTTCCGGCCCACTCTTGGCCACAGCCACAACGGATTATATCGGAGTTTCAGAAAATTAGGGTACCTTATTTTGGGGTCCTTTATAATAAGGATCCTATTAATTAGGGTACTATATTAGGGTCCCCTATTTTCGGAAACCCCCATATTCCTCGTTTTGTATGTTGTTTTGGGGGTTTGGGGTTAAGGATTCCATAAGTCCCCAAACCCTAGATTTGGTTTACTGTATGTACTTATAGGGTTTGGGGTTTTCAGCGTATTGAAGAATGAACCCTGAACCCCCAAAACCCACCCTAAACCCTGAACTCCAAACCCAAATTACCCAAAGTCAATTTTGGCTCGGAAGAAAAACCCTACACATGCAGGTACCTTGGCCCAAAGTATACAAAGTATATCTTATTTGAGTACTTGGACCCTTGGGGAAAGACACCACGCTCAATGAACGCATGCAGTGGACACGATCCCAAACCAAAGAGTGAAGTTTCAGAGAATATAGAGGCCTTATAATAAGTAGAATAGGGTGTTGGGGTATATCTTACTATAAGAATAAGGAGCCCCCAAAATAGTATTGGTAACTGCTTAGGCCCCTATCTATATCACCCTTAACTTGAGACGGTCACGCATCCGACTGTCCCTCACCAGAACGACACTGCAGTGTTGCATGGAAGTAGCTCTAAACCCGGTAAGCACGCGGGCCTTAGGGCTGTTGAGTTTTACGGCTAAGGGCTTTATGGTTTTAGGGTTTAGGGCCTTAGGGCTTTTGGGCTTTACGGTTTAGAGCTCTATGTTTCATTTGGGACCTCTCTTTAGGGTCTTAGGGTTTAGGCTTGGGGGGGTTTTCTTCCCTTGGACCCGAGGCTCTAGAACTCACTAGAGGCACATCTGAAACACTCTGCAAAGGCTTTGGCGAGCCATGCAAAAGCGAAACAAAGCTCCCGAAACTTTCCAAGTTTGGGAAACCTCTCGACGTCTGAAGCCAAAGCTCGACTCTTGCGCAGTAACTTGGTGTCGGCATCTCATTGACTTAGGGGCTGAGTACCCTAGCCCCAAAAAGGTTAACCCTTTGAATGACACTAGGATTATATAAGCCGCAAAAGGCTAAAGGTTACCTACTCAGCCCCTAAGTTGACGGCAGCAACACACAAAGCAATCTTGAGCACGCTTTTGCACACGCCGCATTGCTCTCTAAGTCGGCCCCGAGTCAACTGTAAAGCCGAAGCCCTGGGCCTTAAACCCTTTACGATTCAGGGTTTAGGGTTTAGGGTTTAGGGTTTGGGGTTAAAGGTTTAGAGTTTTGGGGTTTAGGGTTTCGGGGTTTGGGGTTTAGGGTTTGGGGTTGAGGGTTTCGAGTTTGGGGGTTTAGGGTTGAAGGGTACCCTAACCAGAAACCCTCACAACCCGAAAGCCTGATACCCGAGTCCCTAAGCCCCTAGACTATGCTGCAAAGCCGAGCAAGTCCCGGCTGTTATCATGCTAAAAGCCTGAAGCGTGCGTAACTTAAAGGTTTTGAGTGCAAAATATAGACTTGCTGTATGGACGTGTTACTAGCACTAGCTATTCAAACCTCAACATTATATAGCGAACCCCAGTGCCTGTGACGGCCCCGTCACAGCTTCGCTCGCAACGGCGCCGAGGGTTCCAAGCGACCGTCGCAGAGTAACAAGCCTAGATCCGGGGTTAGGGAAGGGCGTTTAAGTGTCGAGGATTCCGGGGGGGGGGGGGGGGNNAACTTAGGCTTCGGGGTGTGGGCTTTTGGGGGGGTTTAGGCCACAGGGTCTTGGGGTTTCAGGTTTGGCGGTGTGGGTTTAGAGTTCAGGGATTCGGGGTTCAGAGGTTTTTGTTTAAGGCCGAGCTGAGAGGTATTCATTGCACCGTGTGACAAGCCTCTAAACCACCCTCTAGGGACGACAAGGCCTCGTGAGATGTGGATGGGATGGCCCCTACCGGATTATTGTTCAGCCCCGTCGAGACATGGAACCAACTCAGCGCTGTGACCTTAGACAAGTCCCGGAATAAAGTGGAAGCAGTGTATCCACCGAAACCAACGGGGTTTGGGGGGTTTAGGCGTTCGGGATCTAGGGCTTCTTGTAGACTGCCAGAGTGAAATCGCATACCGCAGGAGATATAAACCCTAAACCCTATAACCCTCCATTTTTGCAAGGTGCTTATTGACAGCTCTTTGCTTGCGTGCGTGTGTGAACTAGTCTGGAGCCAAAGAGTCGAAATGTTAACGTAATATAAAGGCCTTAATAATTAGNNAATTAGCATAGGGTTTTGGGGTATATTACACTATGATTATACTAAGGAGCCACCCCCAAATACTATAGGTAATTATTACGGTCCCTATATAGTAAGCTCACCTTTGGGGCAGTCTGTTTCACATCGAAATGTAGGACACAGAGACACACGCAGCTTAGGGGGCGCCCCAGGTCAGAAGAATGCAGAAATTATACTAAACCCTAAACCTAAACCCCTAAACCCCTAAACCCTAAACCCTAAACCCCGAAACCCTAAACCTTAAACTGCAGCTGAGCATCAAGGCGGAATCTCTCCACCATTCCTCTCGCTCTCCTGGGCTCCACAGGGCTGAGGCTTTTGAGCGAGACAGGATTAGGTCTTTCAGGTAGGGTTTAGGGTTTAGGGTTTAGGGTTTGGGGTCAAGGGGCCTCTGAGACATCAAGCCGAGGACCGAGAAAGGAAGGGTGCTAGGGCCAGGGTTCAGGCGACTTTGGTTTGGGGTGCGGCTCACCCCTAGGGTCTAGGGTTCAGGGTTCGGGGTTTAGTGTCTAGGGTTCAGGGTTCAGGGTTCAGGGTTTACCATACGTCCTTCAGGCCAGAACTATGCAGTATACCCTCGTCTGTTTCTACTAAAAGGTCTTGATTGGGAGCTCTCGAACTGACCAGGGGAATATGAGTACGGCAGACATTCTCAGTGCCAAAAGCACGACTCGGAGATCTGAAATTCGCAGCAGCATCATTCAGATCAGCACGACGGCTCTGGCTCTACGCAGCGTTGCTCTGACGTCCGATCATAAACCCGAACCTCTGCACATAAAGCCTATGTTGCTGGCCTTGATGTTTCGAGGATCCCCGTTTGCCCGTATAGGCAACTGCGCTGCTAAGAAAGGATGAAGTTGTGGCTTCGGGTCTGTCAGTGCGTGGTAACCTTGTTTTGAAAGCTGCCTTTAGAGAGTATATGTCGAAACAGCATGCCAGCGATCAGAGTGGAATAGGGTTTCGGTTCCCAAAGAAAAACTCGCATATCCATTCTGGTCTGTCTGCATTTCGCCTGCGATCCCTCAACTTTACACGTCCTAAACCCTAAACTGTGCAAACACACACCACACGACAAGCTCACATTGACGTGGAACGGCATACATCATCCATTCTGTTTGGGCCCTAATCCCTAAACCCAAAACCCAAAACCCAAAACCCTAAACCCCAAACTCCAAACCCTAAACCCTAAACCCAAAACCCTAAACCCTAGAAGCCCGAGACAGATCCGACCACCGACCTGCTAGTCAAGATGCTTCGACCGCTGGCCCATGCAGCTTAACTGCACAAACAGAACCCAGGCAAACTCAATCCTGAATTCAGGATTAGGATGTGGGTCGTTCTCTAAATTGGGGTCCCTTTTTAGGGCTCTTTACGTAAGGGTACCGTGGTATTTCGGGGATCTCAAAAAAAGGGACCCTCCTGTAGAGAACTTGCCATGTATGAGCCTTATAACCGCGAAATCCATAGTCGTTCCGAGACTCTGTATGGCTTTTTGCCCAACACTACAGCCTCCAGCTTAAACATGGCCGCCACGGATTGATACACGGGCCCACATAAGTACCAATTCTATTTTGGGAGTTCCTTTTTGAATACGAGTACGGTATAGTAAGTATAGTATACCCCAAACCCTATTCTAGTTCGTAAGGCCGTTATATTAAGGTTTCGGAACTGCAAACACTTGCTGCTGTTGGGTTGCCAAGAGCGCGTCGAGCTTCTCCTTGCTATGACCGCGCCAAATCACTTTCAGTCCTCGTTGGCTTGAGATGTCTAGAATTTGCATACCCTTTTGGCTTTAGGAAGTGCGCTTAAGCTTCGCGTGGCACCCAGAAAAGTGTGCTGCATGTGCTTGGGATTGCTGTGAAGCGTTATGGTTCAGGACTTGCTTATCGAATGCATTACAAGCGTGTACACAAAGAAAACAAAAGGACAACCCTAAGCCCTAATCCCTGAAACCCTAAAGCCCCATAAATTTAAACTCTAAACCGTTGCTAAACCCCTAAACCATCAACCCAGAGTTCGCATGGGCAGGCGCGAAGATGATCCTCAGCAACTCTCCGGCAGTACGAGGCACTCTCAGGGCACTCTTGTGAGTCAAGAAGTGCGGCTTCTACCAACCTGTGCTGCTATCGTAATCCCCGAATAGACCCTAAACCCGAACCCCTAAACTAAACCCTAAACCGGGACGAAAAGATACACGTAAACAAAGGCCATAAGGTTTGGACTGCCCATAACCCCCTCTTCAAATAAGCCAACCAGATGAACATATCCCACCCAAAAGCTTCTGTTTTGGTGCTTTTTGTGTTCTTGATTATTATAGTCCCTGCATACTCATGGTATCATAAATCCTATACCGTAGCCCCTCAACTTGAGGCTTAGGGCTGAGGGTGGTTTTAGGTTTAGGGTTTGGGGTGGATTGAAGGCTGTCTCAACCCGAAAATCAAACAAGAAGCGTAACTTCTGGAATTGGCGATGAGGGTACGGTGGTATTGCAGGGAGCCTGGCTGGCGTGATAGCCCCAATCTCTAGACCCCAAACCCCAAAAACTCTTAAACCCCAAACCCTAGACCCTAAACCCAAACTCGAAGGTTTAGGTTGTAGTGTAACTCGAAACTTAATATTTATATACTTCCATCGAAATATGATGGTTTAAACAGTCAAATATACCCCAATTCTATCAAAATATGATGGTCCAGACCCCCAAACCCCAACACGGCTTCGGAGCTGCCGGGCCAGGCCTTGTGAGGCGACCTCCGCTGGGAGGCAGCTGGAGGCGTGTTCGCCGAAGAGCCGACCCAAAGACAAGAGATACCTCGAAAAGAGCTTGGTCTTAGGGTTTCTCAGGGGTTTAGGAGGGTTTAGGGTTGAGGGCTTCTAAGGGTTGAAGGGTTTAGGGTTTAGTTTAGGGTCTAGGTTTATACAGAGTTTGAGAAGACAGCATGTGACTTGCCACGAAAGTTTAGTGTTTCGGGTTTAGCTTAACAGGCAAACTTGGCAAACATCCAGAAAGCAAGGCGCGCTTTATCTTGAGCCCAACTGACGCCGTAACAGTAAAGCTATCTATCTACATCTTGTACAATCGGCATAGGTTTAGGGCCTTATGGGTTCAGGGTTTCAGGGCTTGGTAGGTGAAGGATATGGCCCGTGATGTCGGGCTTTCGGGCATGCCGCTAAACCCTAAACCCTCCAAGGTCCTAAACTCTTCTAAAGTACACTCAACCCGAAACCCTAAACCCTATAAACCCTAAACCCTAGCTTTCCAGGTTGATTGAAGTTGACCTAAACCCTAAACCCTAAACCCTATAAACCCTAAACCCGAAGCTTTCCAGGTTTTACTGAAGTTGAACACAGGAATCCGCCTGTTCGGGTTTGGCGCTCCGGATGTAAACTCGTACTGTCTTCTCTTTCGTCCCGACATAATGGTAGAATGGTCTTAGGGTTTAGGGTTTAGGGTCACCGCAACACTGTATTCTAATCTTCTTTGGCCCCTATCTTGGGGATCCAAAGCGTTTTGTGCAAACAAACGAGCCTCGAAAATAAAAAACCAAGGACAACTCTCTTCCCAACAAACCTCAACCGTAATACTAGGGCCGTAGTGATGCGCATAGCAATTCATTGAAAGGGTCTTTGTAGGATTCTATAATGGATCGACAATCAGTGTTTTTCGGGTTTAGGGGCGTTGACGATTAGAGTAGAATAGGTCTTGGGGGGTATAGTATACGCCAACCATAGTAAGGAAATGTACGGAAGAACTCGTATCTTCTCCAGATGATTATTTCATGTCGAACCAGACCTCAGCATAAGGACCGGCAAGTGTCGAAGGCATTTTCCAAGTGGAAACGTTTTCCGTCTGCTGCAGCGCTGCATCCAGAGGCTCTGCCATAATTCGTTCCTGGCCTATCAAGCCGGAACCCCAAACCCTGAATCCTTGAAAAAAACCTTAAACCTTATCAACCATAATCGGTCTTAGCCCCAGGCCCTAGATAGCCTAAACCCTAAACCCTAAATGCTGAACTCCAAACCGTGGTGCCCAGGGCTCCAGTGCTGGGGTGACTGATTTAGGGTTTAGGGTTTAGGGTTTAGGTCTGGGTTTAGGGTTTAGGGTTTAGGGTTTAGGGTTTAGGTCTGGATAAGGTGTAAAGCTTCTGGGCTTTCGGATTTAAGGTTGCGGCTTATAGGCGAAAAGGGCTGAAGGTTTAAACCTCAAAACCCCTGAGCCTTATTAGAGTTCATAGCTTTTCTGGCTTCTAGATGAGCCTCTGGGGCAATATAGGGGCCTTCATAATTCAAACAGTGGTTTGGGCCCATTATACTGTACTTCTAATAAGGACCCCCCCCCAAAAAAAAAACAATAGTATTGGTAATTATTTAGGCCCCTATACCAGCTTCCACTAACGCGATTGCAGCGAGGAACTTCGCTCCGAGTGGAAAGGTTCTGCACGGTGCAATGACGGAGCCGGCTTGCAGATAAATGTGACATGCGCAGTACGCTACCGGTCCATGTGCCCAAATAGAGTTACCATCATGAGACATCAAAGCCGTGCGCAAATCGGCTGCATATTCGGCTTCCACATGCCTGAGATTCTGCATCGAGTCTGATAGCCAAGTATCCTGGCCGTCGTGTCATAAAGGGTGAAACGACTTGCGTCAGAGGCGCCAACAGAACTTCCAGCAACCGAAGGCAAAGACAAGCGCTACAAGGACCCATACGAGCACTGTTGTCAAACTCTGGGCACTCACGATGACGGTGCAGAAGCCACCAGCCACGAAGAGAATGGAAGAAAGCACGAATGCAATCGTAAACTCAAGCGAGTAGGGCATCATCCTGCGACCGCACACTCGCAAGCCGCGCTTGCTCATGGTCATGTAGGCGCCAAAATTTGCGACAGCAGGAAGCCAAAGCACATCCAGGCCAAGCACATGCGCCAAGAAGAATCCCAGGATCGACCTCCAGGGAGCGCCAGCCTTCGACAATGCCAGTAGACCTTCCAGCGAAAGGCAGAAAATCGGGAGTGTAGCGATGTAGATGTACTGGGGTGATAGACTCCCCTGCGCGCGCAGTAATTCAGCGACTTCCAGACGGAAGGCCCCCGGATGTGACTTGAAAAAGCCTTAGGGGCTGAGTACCCTAGCCCAAAAAAGGTTAACCTTTTGAATCATAGTAGGATTATAATAGCCCCAAAAGGTTAAAGGATACCTACTCAGCCACTAAGAAGCATCCAAACTTCCATACCACGAGATGATGGCTTCATGGATGCAGTGCTTGTCGAACTCGCTCGAGCATTCGACCTTTGTCACATCGAAGCCTGGGCTGCTAATGTAGCAATAGTGCAACAAGCTGGGTTGTTGTTACGGAGTTTGATTTACGTTACCCTAATAGGGATCTATAGTAAATATTATGGTTGCTTTACTATGGTGACTTGAATTACATCCCTGAATAACCTCCCAGCAAGGGATGACATGTCACAACCAAACTTGCGCTAGTGCTAGGGTACATAATGGGACAAGTCAGCACATGCATGCAAGAGTGAGCCGATGTACAGATGTGGGCATTTGTTCAACAAGTGTCCAACATGACGGCATCATCTGCCTTCAAAGATGTACAATGTACCCATCTCAAATCAGGAGAAACTGCACAGCTTCGTTCCTGCGTAACTTAATAATAGAAACCGACGTACTTTCGGTAGATATACTGTACCGTGACCACTTCAACACCAGTTCAAAGATGTTCCAACTTCACAAAAGATGCAGACAGAGGTGTCCTACCGACCAAGCAACTGGCGAGCTGAGCCTCTAACAGCTTGTCCGCCTGGTGCTTCTGCCTGCCTGCATGAAACAATGTAGTAAACCTTAGTTGCTGAGTTCATAAGCCACAAAAAGTGTAAAGTGTATCCACTCAGCTACTAAGAAACAGCAACAAGAACGAGCCGACCAACAGCATTAGAAGTCGCAATGGATCTCCACCATTGGGCCCGGTCCGCACCGCGAGAAAAGCAGCAGAAGCCAGCTGCACCCAAATGAACATCATGTACACAGTTGCCTCACCTGGGTTCTAGTTGAAGGGCCACAGCAAATATCGATCCGATCTATGTGAACAGCTACCTTCTGCAACCATTGCAAGGCATATGAAACAAACTAACATCTCATAGTGCCGTCTGTCACTCAGCAATGGTGAGATGATGATCTGGCCCTGCGGGCTCACTTTGCGGAATGCTGCCAACTCGAAGACGCACCACAACCTTGGCTTGATCCAGATTGCGGCCGCGACTCTCATCAAAGGATAAGCATGGCTTGCACAGCCGTAGGATGAATTTAAACTAGCCTAAACCCCAATCCCTGCCCCTCCCCCCGCCCCCCCTCCCAAGCCCCAACTTGCCAGAAAAGACCCTAAACAGCCCAGGACCCAAACTTGTTCTAATGTCAAGCCTGGAAAGCCTCTTGAGGTATGGTGCACTCCACAGCACACGCAGCTCTGAGGACGATGCCAAAAAGGCTCCAATGGATCTGATGCCTTGCCTTGGCATACGGTTCAAGGATTCTTTTGCAAGCTGTTTAACCGTCTGCAGGTGGAATTCTTGGGAGTGCTCAGCCTACAGTGCCGCACGCTTGGCCGAAGTAGGCATGATGGTAACCACAATTGCATCAAACAAGCTTCCGGACAGAAAGTGGTCAAAAGAGACCTTCTGCTCCCCTAAACCCTAAACCCTAAACCACACCTCAGCCCTGCATATTCACGGGCGACCCAAAGATGCATCTCTGTGCAGGATCGCCAAGCTGCTGCATCCTGACTGTGTCCGTCTGGTCCACGCAGACGTAGTCCAAGAAGCATACGTCCTAGGATGGCTCCTTAAAGCCTTTGGAACATATTCGAAAATAAGATCCTCTTAGGCCCAATAAGGGAAAATATAACATGTATGGTCCCTTAAAGCCTTTGAAACATATTCGGAAATAAGATCATCTTAGGCCCAAGAAGGGAAAATATAAAATGTCCCAAAGGGCCTTTCGAGTGTCGGAGCTGCGATGTGGAAGATATGGGTACAAGATAAGCCCTCCAACTGCCTAGGCTTGGGAGACATAGAAGATGCTTGGCAACCCAGAAGCTCTAGATTAAAAACCCTAAACCCTAGCTTAGGGTTTAG